TTGAGTTGGAGTCTCACTGTCGCCCAGACTGGAGTGCAGTGGCCGCTCCTGGCCACTGCAACCTCGACCCACTGGGCTCCGGCCATCCTTCCGCCTCAGCCTTCCGAGTAGCCAGAATTACAGGTATACGCTACCATGCCTGGCTGATTTTGGATTTATTGTAGAGTTGAGGTCTCGCCAAGTTACCCAGTCGGGTCTCGAACCCGCGGGCTCAGGCAATCCACTCGCCTCAGCCTCCCAAAGCGCGGGATTACAGGCTGAGCCACCGAGCCGGGCTCTAGTAGGTATTTCTTGAGCGGTCTCTACGGGCCAGGCCCTGGCAGTGCAGCCACGAGCACAAACAAGTTACATGTATATGACACTGGGCAGTTCACACCAGGCACTAATCTAAGCACTCATGTGTTAACCCATTTAGCTCACAGTAAGGCATGAGGTTCCTGCTTCACAGATGAAACACATGGAGTTTAGAACCTGCCTAGTGTCACACAGCTGACAGGAGAGCTGGTACTGTCTGTTCACCTTACCTTCCCACCCACCTGGCCAAGGTTTCCTTGTACACCGGGATCCTTCCATCCCATTGACTTTGTTCATGACTTGTGTATTATAACCCTGGAACATGGCAAGAGAGGCAGTGTGCTGTCCCCAGGGGAGGGTTCATGAGGTGTGGTCTGTCCCTGCTCACCCTGAAGGCCCTGAGTGAGGAAACACTGCAGCCAGACTCCAGTTGAGACCTGATCACAGACCTGGAACCAGAAACACATTAAGGGTTGAAAGTCTCTGAGATTCAGGAGTTTCTATTGTGCAAGATTAGTGCAGCAAAATCTGGCCATTGCAACCAGAAGATGGGGACCTGGGCTCTGAGCCTGTCCTATGTTCCTCACCGTGGTGCTGTGTTGCCATGGAGAAGTCTTCTGGGCCCTATGGGCCAGGATACCGTGGATCTAAATTGTATAGTGTGGGAGAGGCCACCTCCTGGGCTGCCCTGGTGTTGACATTCACAGGAAATAGGCATAATCCCTTCTGATTGACCAGGGTTGTCATCCCCCCCGTTTCTGGGGCGCATGCCTCAAGCCTCACAGCAGTCCTTATAGGTTAGGGTTGTTTTTTCCATCTCATAGATGGGTAATCTGAGGCTCATAGTTGCATGCTCCGAGAAGAGGGATTTGGACACCCTTTTTGCCTGCTAGGCTGTAGAAATCTCCCCTTGTCTGAGCATCCGAGGTTGCTTGGATGTTTACCTTGACTGCAGTTTTTAGTGTGTGTACTCCACTAGCCTGGCACTTTTCTCATCCCCCCATGGTCAGTTTGGAGTGTTGGGGCACACTAGGAGTATGGGGCAGGGTCAGTAGATTCTGGGAAAGGCTCAAGTGCCCTCTAAGGCACATGCCTGTGGGTGCTGCCCATCCAATCACTTGCTCAGCCTTATTCCCACCCTTGGTGGGCTGCACATACTAGCCCTCCTTTTCCCAGAGGCATTGTCCCTGCCCACTTCCTGCACTCTTCAGCCTCAGATGTGGATTTGGCTGGGCTGGGGCTAGGATCATGCTGCCCTTTTCATTTGCCAGCCCTGGACCGCAGGGAGAGCAGCTGCAGGGACAACTCCGTCCCTCTGCTTCCTGCAACTGCTTGTCAAAACCTCTGTCTGAAG